TGTAAAGAATAAGGAATGATTATGAATGGGCTTTTGATGTAATCATATAATCTTAGAGGAATCATAATCAAGCGTTACACAAAGCGCATCAAATTCGCAATTTGGCTCATGTCGGTCCACTTTATTCAATTAAGCGTTGATTGTCGGTAGCAAGAGGTCGCGTCGGGTTGTGGCTGTACTAATTAGGGCCTTAACGCTTCGCCCACGCACGTGCCCATTGTCACACATGTACCTATAATCCATGCTCATACAATACACCTTATGATTCGTGTCAACCTACCAATTGTCCAATTGTCTTCTCATTCATCTTGAGCAATGTTTCTCAGAATACTTAATTTCATTAATTATAGATTCTCTTTGTTTATACGTTTGTGCAACGTACGATAGACTACCATTGAAAAACATACTTTACTGCAATTATAATTATCTAACGTGAAGATGACATAAATCCATAACGAATAGATATCGGTTTGAAAACAACACTTAATACAGTGCGTCAGATTGTACGACTATATCAGTGGACTTGTTGAAAGCACTCCATAATTCATTACATTATTCATGTCAAACATCAAGGTTGAATGCAAATGTGCAAGTTGAAACTGAACAAAACAAATAGATTCCATTTTCCATTGGATTTGATACAATCCGGAGTAAGACCCGAGCGCTCATGATGGGCTCCACCAACCCACGTGCGTATCGACCTCAATACTATCAACGCATTGGCAATACAAACATTCTGTTTATATTTACCTTCGTGTTATTATTACATGCTAGCGAGTAAATGCCAAGAAACACTAGATCAATTTAAATTTCGATATCTGCACTCCGTTTATTTTCTGCATATCGTCATTGTCTAATTTCACCTCGAACAAACAAACGAGAGAGATTACTGTTATCGACTCGACTACGTGACTGCCACCAGATGGTTTTTTGTAATTGCATTGTGTTCTTACTTAATTACTATTGTTATATGATCTACAATTTGTAGTTGTATAACAATATTCAACTGTAAAAAATATTCTATACGGCAGCATAAATGCTCAACTCGGGAATCACGTGCGAAAAGTTGTGTAACCGGTTTTGAGGCTTCGTTTATAAACAAAACAGGCTGGGATTCAGGTTTTGGCGTATTCGTTCTAAGCGCGTGGGCGGCCTTGACTGAGCGAAGGACGGCCGGCTTACAGCTTCGAACGTGCGCGTGCGCTGGGGGCGTGGCTCACACGCGAAGCCACGTATGGATGATTGTTGTTTACCTTACTTTTGTTTTTCTCTCCCTTAAAAAGTGGACATAAATAAAGAGAATTTACAGTTATTTTTGTTTTATACTCAATGGTTATGATAGTAATGTATGTATATATAGCACACTTGCAAAACACAAAATGTGGTCTTGACAAAAATATCTAAGAGATAATACAAATATCTCACACATGTCCACAAAAATACTCTAGACATAACACTACAGCTTTTACGTTGCATTTCACTGGTATTTCCAGCATTTATTTTGCAAAGACTAATTTAATTATGGCGCAGAAATTTTAACGCCGTTGTGACGTGACGTTCCGTGGACAAAAACTGGTGGACGTATAACGACATTCATTATTCAGGAACCCCGGACGTAGGGTACGCGACAGAAATAATAAATAAACCATTCATACGTAAGCGGACATGCCTACAAGTTTTTCAGTGACTCTCTAGTGCAATAGTTTAAATTCGCGAAAGTATACTCGAATTCAGTTTTTGGGAACTCAGTCAGGCGTTTGAGTTGGGTTTCTTGTTTTAAAACTGCTGTTTTGTTAACAATCAATTCAAAACTTTGATTTTGATTTTCAAAGAAGTTTAAATTATATTTAATCAAACAGTGTTCATTTCTCCATCCTTTTCAAACAATTCTCTTTAAAAATAAATACTTCTTTGAAAGTGTGCCTTATTATTCAGGGGCCTAATACTTAATTAATTATTTATTATTCGTGTAATTGAAAAACAAAACAACGACGCACATTATTCATTCGTGTTATTCCCATTACTATGTCTTTATACAAGTGTTCCTCGTATTTATGAATACTGCTGTAACGATATTGCTAATAGTTCTGGATGGATTGACTTCTTTAAGGGTTTCTTCTTCTTTTTCCCTATCACATTCCGTAGACAATTTGTATTATGTCTGTCTACCAGAATTTGAATGTATTCTTGCGTATCTGTTACTATAACTTTAAGTGCTATTTAGACCAAATAATTGTTGTTCGCTGTCTGTTTTCAAAAATAGGAATTCTTTTTTAAAAGCCTTCATTTATCTCCTTATTGTTACGTCTTCTACACTTGAACTTGAACAGTTCTTTACAACAGCTTTTGCTTCACCTTTTAAAGACTTGGTTCCATTGTAAACCAAAGTGGGAGCTACTTTAGTTAAATGCTTTGTAAGTATTACATTGTGTAGCAGGCTTTGAGTTTCAGCCAACGGCTTTAAGCGTTTTCTCACTTAAAATTCCATTTTGCTCGGTTTCACGGAATGTTGGTGTAGTAAAAACATCCCTAACGTTAATGCTGTTACTATTCTCGGTTGAACTTTATCTATCCGGAGTAGACGAATCATTTTATTTATCTAGATCATACACTTTAGAAATATCGTGCCACACGATGAATTCCTGTAATAAAACGTAAAACGATTGAGAAACTATGACACGGAATATTATTGCACTAAAATTATCACTGACCGGTGAAGCAATATTATTTTTGATGCGAATATTATCTGAATCTCGGCGATTCCTTTTTACACGAGCTTTGTTGACGGTCTAAATATAGTCAGTTGGCGTCACATCGCCGGGACCGGCTGTTGTCTCTGCTGAAAAATGTTTATTGCATGTATTTATTTTATTTATCGTTACGTCCAATTTACAAACATTGGGTTCGTTGGCTTCCCAAAATTTACGCAATGGATTGGTTAAGTTCTTTCCTACGTTATCATATCTGAGTGAGGTATCGTTCAGTGAACCGCTTTTCAGGACACCCAATTATATAGCATATAGCACTATACTTGATCATTTTTGTTTCTTTAACAAATCAGTTAACTTTCGTAAGCCCTTGCCATCTCTTTATATTCTAAAAATTATAGTTTGTTCATTAATAATCACATAGTAATTCCAGCCATTAGTAATTCAAAGTTAGTCTGTTTTAGACAGCACTTAATGAACAATTTATTACAAGTTCAACGAAAGTCATTACCAAAACAAGTTAACGAATGTTCGCTCTTATCTTCTGTACAAAAATATTGATCCAACCGTGTTTGTACAAGTCATGATAATAAGAATACGTTGTTTTGTTTATAATTAAGTAGTCAGGGAACGTGACATGGAGATTACCTATTTTACAACGGTGATTAAGATGAACATATTTGTAAAGAAATTATAGCAAGTAATGTTAGCTTCTCTTGTCCTTGGGTAGATTGTATCCATAAAGAATATGAAGTTGCTGTTTCATATAGCAGTAAAATGATTAAATTAGACACCTTTAAATAATATTTACTAGTAGATAACGTGTCCCGCCCATCAATTTTGGACAAGGTAATATGTTAAGTCCACATAGCCACGTAATCTTGACTTACCAATTACTTTTGAAAGGTTAAATGGTTTATTGAAATTCAAATATGTCCTCTGGGTTTAACCAAATATTTTGATACATGTTTAAAGTCCAGATGGATAAGAGATATATAAATTTATGATGAGATATTGAAAGATTGATCAAGGCTTCGAGTAATAGTAGAATGATAGTAGGCAAGACTGACTTAGACATCACATTTGTATCTACTAAGACTGACGAGTTGAATTCAATGTTTCAACACAATGTCACATTCATCTATCTACAGTACCTACCTGTGCTAGGTAGCGTGTATCTAAGCCGACATGCAGGCTCAAATATATAATTTGTGCGCCTCGCCTCATCTCGTCCTTGTCGCAAAGTGGATAATCACGCGTCCACAGAACATGTCGGCGACAAGATTGGATAACAAATTCATATGACCACACTAATTTGCGAATCTCATACACCTCCCAAATATTTTAAAAGCGTACTTAGTGTTTGATGTTACAATTTTATGACCATCATTCGTTTTAGTATCTCTAATTGAATATGATGTACCGATAAATTATTATTTATCGTATTTCCAACTCGTGTTTGTATTCAATTAGTGGGTCGGTTAGCGTTACGTATACGTGTTTCTTTCCACAGTAATTGTACAATGAATGATAAGCAAATCATAGATTAGATGAAGTGGTGTTTTACATGCTTCATAAACCCATTCTGATACTCGATTGACGTCAGAATCACATCCGACAGACAGCTGGGCCAGCAGCATAACGTGTTACCAGACCAATCCTACAAATCGGACATTGGAATTGGGACGTCTATTTTAATGGATACTTTTAAACGCTGCCATCTGTCTCGAACGCAATGATAAACAACTAATTCATCCAGATTACCTTTGATTCCAAGAAAAACTCGAGAGTTTATGTATCTTTTATAAAACTTCGTAATAGTAAGTTTCTCTTTATAGTCTTCTATTATGTTGTTAGTCTGTTATCTTGTAACAATAAGCAGACTTATAAAAATAAACGCGTCTGGCAACTTTCGTAGAATTCGCATTGTTCTTTTGATTTGATATAAGATCAAAATTCGGTACTCGATTGCCATGAAGAATGTGTGTGTTCCATGTTGTAAATATTATTGACAATGTTTCATAATAAACGTTTGAATGTCTTTTGTGATAATTAAGGTTATCGCCCGGTGCACGTGCTTGCCAATAAATAAGAATGTATTCAAAAACGTATTGAGATGTTACCAGATGAAAAAGACCTTGTAAATATTAAGCAAACCTATCCAATTATTTATTGTATACAATCTAATAATATTTTTAATTCCTTAACAGTGACACGAGTTTCCTGTTTCGTACGTTCTTATCTTAATTAAATCTGAAATTTTTGCTCTAACCCATTATTCATTATTTCCAGGTGTTCGGCACAGTTGAGTTGCCGGACAAGCCGATCATGTTGCCGCCTTTCGTGGAGGCGACCCACTGCCTCGGCTACCATCTGACTCGCAAGGGTCGGGCGGTCGCCGACAGGGTTGTCTCCGTCCTTGGGTACGCCTGCCCCGACATCACGTACAGTCCTAGCCTGTACCCTATCACCGCTGCGTTATTGCACTTCATGCCTGGTAAGTATTGCTTTATTATATTCTCAATATTCTTCAGGAGTATTATCTCTTTAAAGTGTATTTGAGTCTTCCGCAAACCTTTTTGCTACAATGAATTGGTTTCCATTTACATAATTTTATTTTTTCTAACGGTTTATGTGACAATATGTCGATATCGTGCGATAGAATTTACATTATTTGAATTACAAAGCAGCTCTTCATGTACACCTTTTATTACTTTTTAAGATCAAACGCATTTCTCAAAAACGCCAGAATGGGTTTTTATGGTAATCAGTTTTAATTTAAATTTAATTAATCTTCTACAGCTGGAACAATTTAATAAAAGATAAATTGTTATGAGAATGAAATGGAAATATTGGAAACTTTGAAGTTCCCCTCGTTTAGAATACCAAATCTTAATGTGAACGTTCAATTTCCTCGGGCGGTGCGGAGGCGGCTTCATTAATTAATATTAGAGCTATCTCCCGAAGTATGAATGGAAGTTGTTAAATTTATTACTGTGCCACGCTCGGTTTATGAACACTATCGCCACTTTATTGATTGTCATTACTTCTATTATGACGGTATTTATTTTTATAACAATATACGGCCGTTTAATCGATTTCATTTAATCATTTTCATATTTTGGTTTCCGTGATGTTTTCATCCTATTCACATCTATAAGTCCTACAGCGTATCTACACCATTTTGCCTTTATTTCAATGTATTCAGGTAACAAGTGGTTACATAAGATACAATTCTAGAGCAGAGGCGTCACAAAATTTACAGTCGCTCTCGCCTTAATTCAGTAATGAGTGCGGGGGGCGATAATTGAACTCGGCAATAGGCAAATTGCCGGACCAGTCTCTCCCGTCTATATCGCGATTACCTTTTCACTGCTCGAAAACAAATAACAACTCTACAACTTCGCGCTAAGACCGACTATTCTTTGCATGTAATTCGTACGCCAGATATTTCTTATCAACATCTAAATTGAACCCTCGTACTTGGTAGCAGAGTCTGGTATGTATTCGATATGGATCTGACCGGGTTGACGTGATCAAAACGATAAATGGACGTCGCCGGCACGCCACAGATTTGCATTGCGTCCGTCGTGCTGTCAGTTCCATACGATTCACTTCCTCCGTAGCACGTTTTCATATAATTGACTGGAATGCGACCATGCGTTTACGATCGATATGGGATGTGCGTGGATATTATGTTGTGTAAAATGTTAATAATTTTATGATCATCATGTTGTAAGCAACGAAAACACAAGTCTACACAAAGGTGTAATGACTGAAATAGTCATTTATCATAGCACGGATAATTTGAGTCGCGAAGAGGCGGAGAAGCGGTGTCAATTTAACTGCCGGATGACTCCAAAAGTGACAATTTCCTCAACTGTCATCTCCCTTTATCATGTAATGTACCTCTGTATTTGCAGAAGCGACATAGACTATGTTCCCGCGATTATTTGATAAACGACCAACGATTCATGAAGTGATAGACAATACCAAGAATAAATCCTTAAAAGGTAGTGCGAACAATGAAGTTTCTTTGGGATTTATTTGTGTTGTTCCCTTTTCTCTTTGGGGATTTTAGTTAGCTAGTAGTCGTCGAGTTAACCTGTCGGTCACGTTTGCTATGCGGCATGTTATTAAACTGAAATAGTTCATGACGCTCATGGTCACATGTGGCTCTCAAACGCTCGAATCGTTTCGATCGTGTCCAACGATGTTTTTATTGTCGTCCCTCGCCACTCGTGTGTCAATGTCGTTCACTTTATTAATTTGAACAGACATACGTCCGTGACACTGGTAGCTCTCACCGTTATCACTGTCCGCTCTGGTTTTAACTAGATATCGTTCGAGTGTTCCACGTCATCAGCATTATCCATGTTGTTTTTGCACTAATAAATAAAGTTAGCGTTTGTAATTTGCTGTAAAGCGTCGACGTAAACTCTGGTTTGCCGTGTTTTAGTGGTTGGCTCCCCGCCAGTGCCTGCTCCCCTCGTATCGATCTCAAAACTGGCAACGTTACTACCAGCCGCCTGAACAATGTGACCGTTAAGGAATCTGTTCCACACTGTTATCCCTCTTATCTTTACGCGTTTGCTTTATCAACAGTTAAAACGAGATAAGCCGGTTTACGTCAAGATCAAAAGAATTGAACACGAGTTTAATTTCTATCGAAAGTTTTATTCCTTTTTGCTAGTGTTACAAGTCAATGCGTATTGTAATTGTTGTAATCTAATTCACCACAATACCGACACAAAGGTCGAAAGGGCTTCACAAAAAGTTCGAATAAAACTCTCATTTATGTTGTTTGTTCGTTTTCTGAGCATTCAAGCGAGAAGGGGCTTCCTGTTCCGTTCTCGTGCCATACAATCGGTTTATATTACCCGCGACACGTAGATAAGACTAAATAAACTTTTCCTGCTTCAGTTACAGACATAAGGACGATAAAGACATCGTCTCGAACAATATCTCGCTTTGACGAATTTGTCTAACATTCACAAGTTATTATAATTATATTCTTGTTTATGTTGTTCGCTTTGATTGGGATGCCGAACTCGCTAATAAGCCGCCCTTTGTTAAACTGAAACATTGGAGGCATTTTCGTTTACGAAACAATTTCGAAGTAACGAAGTTCTCCAATGTTTCTTTATTAAGTACTTAAAGGAGAGCCTGACAGAAAAGCTTTGAAAATCAATTTGCGGTGTGCCCCTCTTCGAAGAACGCGAAGAACTTGTACTATGTTTTTCAATTACGCTTGTTCAAAGGAACACCCGATCTCCATTTGGTACGAAATGTAACCCCGCTTTTATGCCCGAACTCAGACAAACAGGGTTGTTTATTGATACCCATCGATATACGTTGGAACATTCGATATACAACGATAAAATTCCTTACTCGCGCCCATCAACAAATATTTATTTCAGAAACTTTTTGTGACCATTTTACTGCTGAATTAATGGCGCCAGTATTTTTGTTTTATAACGAGATTTATTGTGTGAGATCTAATCACATCGTTATAGTCCACCAAGGCCAGTACGATTTCCATACGAGCTGAGGTCCACACAATGTCATGAGTTAGTCAGACCAATGATATCATAGCATTGCTGCGGACTAGATAAACGATACTGAATTGATACTATTTTTATATTCACAACGAAAAGCTGGTGCTGCGAGGCCAAAAGAAAATTATAGCATGCAATAATAGACCGTTGCCAAATTATATGCATTCTGTGAAGTACATTGAATAGAGGGTAACGAGTAACGAGACTTGTCCCAATTTTTCTTCTGTAGCTTATAATATTGACTTTCTCTGTTGAACCGTATATTTTTATTGCTGTAATAATAAAGGTCTTATTAGAAACGTCTGTCATAAAGTTACGGGCATGGCACGGCTGTATAATGCGGGGCTTTTGGTTTTGGTAGCAAATGGTCGCTGTCAGCTTTTACAGAATAAACTTCTTTATGTTTGTCTAACTTTCTGTCAAAGGGATTGAAATATTCAACATACCACTTGTATATATTTTATCACATTACTTTTTATTGTCAGTGTCAAGTTTGAATCTTAATTCTTCTTAAATAATCAAAATTCACGAAGACAATAGGCTCATCCTCTATTACATAGGACTAATAACATAAATAGTGAAAAGTGGGTGTTACATTGTACTGCGGTATAATGTGCACCTCTGCCTATCGGGCGTCCCTTCGGGGATAAAAGGCGTGATGTCATGTTATGTCTCTCACGTTTTTGTCTAAATTAGACTTGTGTAGTTTGGCGTTATTCCTACACGTAAGACGTCAATAGTCGGTATAAAATGTAACAGATACCACTCTGTCTAAACTGTTATCTATTTCTGGACTCTGAACTACACCGTCAGATGTGAACTTCCGAACAACCCTCGCATTTTCCGTCGGAAACAAATTACCCTTTTCGGACCAATACAAAGCTACCAGTCCAATAAATTGTAGCCCCAATCTCTTTTCCTTTTTGTTTTTACATGATCCAAATAATTGTATCATACCAGTCAGAGCTTTTTATTTCTCTTATATCCTTTTTGCGAAATTAACTTTGTGCCCCTTTTAAGCTCCTGAAGTTCTTTAGCGTTTATTCGTCTCTGGAGCATTTAAAACTGTACACTCGAACGTTCGTTCACTTACCGTGGATGTAGGTCAAGCTATTGTGTAGGCAGTCGTGTACAGCCTTTACAGATTTTCACAGTCAGCTGTTCTCAATGGAGTCAACGTTTCATTGCTGCATCATTCAGCCATCTGTAGTTATGACTCCGGCTATTGTTTTGTCTCCCTTTCTCATTTCAATCACTTCGTTATTTTAATTTAGTAGACTGAATGTGCAGTGTTTGCGGTATTGTGACTTACTGGTGCAATATGAAGCTCGTAGACAATAGATTTCCTAGCCATCATATCTTTGTGTTCAATGTGACTTAAACTCTCCATTCTATCTGAAAATACTGAGTTTCAATTGTCAATTAAGTTGGAGAAATGTTTTTGTACCCTGGATTTTTAAGTTTATAATATGGCACTTTCCACTGCTAAGCACTACAAAACCTTTTATTCGAATGTTTCCCAGCCCGCAATTTCATTTAAAATTTCCTCTCTATTCGTAGCTTCAACTAGTAAAACTCCGTCCGTCTATTTACTTTAAAGGATTTTCTAAAATGTAGCGTTGCATTTGAGTTGGAGAGTTGGAGCTCATGAGTGCCTGACCCAAATCCACATCGACCCACTGAAAATAGGTCACGATCTTTGTTAAGCACTCCTATTTTCGGCTTTGAATTTTCTGACTTGCGGTTGACAATACAGGCTTTGCGGGTAAATACACGTTGTCATGAAGGACCAAATCATTTGTCAATAGCCTTCCGGATCACCGAATTACGTGGGGTGGGAAATTGAAATGTAATTCGTACAATCATGTGATTTATCTTGGATTGATTCCAGTATCGTTTCTACCGGCTTTATATGTTTTCGAATCTACGAATTTTGATG